CAAATGCAGGACCAGGGACATAGGCCTTCGAGGACGTCGACGAAGACATAGGACGGTAGACGAGGAAGACGACGAGTTCAAATGTGATTGCGGCTTCGAATGCGAAGACCGTGTTCATGTAGTCGCGGAATGTCCGTTGTACAAGAAGGAGAGGGAAGTGTACGTGACTGAGCTGGGAAAAATAGATGGAACGTACAGGGAGATGTTTGAGGCATGGAATAGAGAGGAAAGGACGGTAGCTGTACTGGGGCATAGGAGGTGGGTTGAAAAGGCGGGAAGGGATATCGTTAGGATAGACAGACTAGGGAAGACATTTTTGAGCCACCTTTGGCAAAGTAGAAAGGAACGATTGGCCATCGGTGCTCGGTCCCGTGCGAACAATTCTCCGTCCTGTCGAGGACGGGTGGTCAATGGTCTCACCGTTAAGACATGCAAAGCATAAGAGTACGCCCCCCATTCTTGAGCCGTGTCCTCGAAACCGCCTGCCGCTTTGCTCGGGAGCCGGCGGCGACGTGCGACTTATTTGACCACATTTCGCGCCGTGTTCTACACTGTAGAACAAAGTAGTTTCTACGTTTTGAAGCTCGACGACAAGGGCTTGCTGAACCATTATCGCGCTACACCGCAGACGATTGAGCTTCTTCTGTGGGACTCCGAATCGGAGCCCTTTAGGGCTCCGTCGATTAAGATGGAAGAAGACAGTAGGCAGTGTAGGTCGAAACTCCGGAGACATGAGAATACATGAGATGATACACGGAGCCCTTGAGCTCTTCAATTGCGTTGAATTGAGATGGAAGAGACAGCAAGCAGCGTACGTTGAAACTTCGGAAACATGGGAATGCATGAGATGGCGTATTTGAAAACAACATCTCGAGAAAGAATAGGTGGCAAGTACATCAGCCAAAGGGCGATGCTGCTCCGTTATGGTGCATATTATCCCAAACTCATCACCGAAACTCATCACCGACAAACAATCGACGCAAATCCGCACAGAATTTGTGTGGTATGTGCACCAGGCGGGCGCTGTTTTTCAGCTGGCATGACCGGCTTCTCCAGTGCAGGGGTGTAAACAGACTCGCATCAGGACCCCAGGTATCCAGTAGGTGCCCTCTAGCACACTCCCTCTGAAAAATGTCTCGACTGATTCTCTATGTGATCTTTTGTGCTCTCTCGAAAGAATTGGCGATAGAAGCTATGGAGGTTCGTCATTCGAAGCCCTCGCTGCTTTGCAGGATTGGCGCACCAATTTTCAGTTTTATTGTCCGATGAGCACACCTCTCACAATGAAACACGGTGACAGTAGTAGTTTTTCCCATGTGAGCTCATTCCCCCACCCTGGTGCCCAATTTCCAAACCGAAGCAAGCTATCAACGGTACCCCCCCCACCCGCCCTCATCAGATACACACAACCGCGGCACACTACCCAGAAAAGCCTTCGAAGGAGACACAAGACCAGGCAAGGGCTCTCGTGACCGGCCTGGCTGGCTTGTACCCTTGCACCTACTGCCGGAAAGACTTTCGGGAAGAAGTCCGCAAGCTGCCGCCAGAGTGAGAGAAGCAGGCGTGGAAAAAAAGACAGCATAGAGAATATTGGGGCTGAACTAGAGAGAGAGAGAAAGAGAGAGAGAGAGAGAGAGAGAGAGAAGAGAGAGAGGGGGGCGAAACTGAGGTACAAGTTGAGAGGCAACGGGAGGAAGAGGGCACAGAGGCAGAACGTGAGGTGGCAAGCAACGCATCGACATGCATTGTCGTTACATATATATTAATTTCAGAACCGTACCTACATGTCTTTGATCTGTTCTTGGTCAAGCAGGACCGTCCCATCCTGACGCATTAACCCGTGATACTGTATGATGTGTGTGGTGGATGCTCGACAGATGGATTACTTCTTTCTCGTTTCGATGCATCCCAGCTTTTCTTTCAACACCATCGTTCGTGTGAGCGTGCCTCGCTTACAAGATTCTATCAGTTGCCCCCGTTTTTTGTGCACACGCACGCGTTTCCGTTGGTCAGGCGACGGCTCAAACAAGTGCAACACATTCATTCATTCATAAATAGCGTGTGGTTGAATCCTCTACCTTGAGCAACAATAATTTGCGAAGCTACCATGCATGTAGGTAAGCGATAGGAGAGTGTGTTGTGCCGGCTGCCGATCCCAATCTCTTTCGTTGTGTTGTCTTCATTTCGTATATTTTGTATAGATCTGAGCCTCGATTGCTTCTGTGAGCAAGCCGGCACCACATGTAAGTTGCTGCACACGCACGCACAGGCAAGTGGAAATATCACACAACATAAGGCTGATATCATGATATATATGCCCTCGTCCCTTTCGTGCCGTCATTCCCTCCACCCCGGCGCGCCCGTTCTTACCCCACTCGCTCCTCAGTGTGAGTTCCCGCGTAGCGCTATCGCTGTGGGCGTGTCAGCAGCACAACCTGGTGAACGAAAAGATCGGAAAGCCGACCTTCCGCTGTACGCTGCCCGCCCTCGACGAGAGATGGAAGCAGGGAAAACCATCATGTTGGGAGGGGGGCGCTAAAGACGTTTGATTGGCCGGTGGAATGACCGAGATGGAGCGCTTATGTGTGGATACCGTTGAGTTTGGATGGTTCGGTTCACCCGAAGCAACCTTGGAGCCTGGTAGAACAGTGATGGCGCTCTAGACGGGGAGACTTGACCACATCTAGTATCTAGCAGAGTTGGCCACCGTTCATACATGCCTAAACGAATAGAGGGACACGAAAAACCAAAGCTCCTCTCGGGAACGATTTCTCAGTTCGCGCTTGGGTGCTTAGTGCACGGTAATATTTGGATGGTAACCGCCCAGCACGGTGACTCCCGTACGGGAACTAGCCACCACGGGAATGCACGGGAACGCTTGGGTAATAACTTGGCACCACGGTAATGTCGCGGTAACGGGCCACCACGACAATCCACCACGCACGGTAGTAGTGCACGGTAACGTGGGATGGAAAAATGCAACAAAGCGATGCACTGCTGTTACTATTGTGTTGCGCTTTTTTTTCAGTGCGCGTGACACCCAAACAGCGCGTTCCACAAAGGACACGAAGAAACACATGAACGAATGGAACCTATCGCATTTCGTTTTTCAATTATTTTGAGACTACAGGCGAAAATCTCGCGGTAAAGTTACCGAAAGACAAGGCAAAAGACGAAGGATAACACAAACGAACTACGTGAGTACGTCCAGAGCGACACCTCGAAATATCCATCAATTGATCACGAACCATATCTCAGCTACGTGAGAACTGAACGCACCAAACTTATCTGCCAGACGATGCATGAACCACCAGGTGCCACGTACGTGCAATTCGAGCTCAACCAAAAGCATAGTGTACCGTATCTGCGTCACAACGTTGGCAAGCAGTTCAAACACAACAAACACGAACACCACACTACGGCTATACACTCAAAACCAAATGTATGTGTTAAAAACACAAAAAAAATAGAAATCTCCTTTTTCGTTTGATGGATCGATACATGGAAGAGAGATAAAAAAAGAAGGTAAAAAAGAGGAGACGATGTGGAGCATCGAACCCGCCATGCACATTCCACAAGCTCGCAGCACGATGCCTCTCAGCTCTCTGTACAGCAAAACATGTTTGTTCCCGTACGTTACCGGGAACTCTACATCTCGCCGGTGATCGCTTGGGTGGTAACCAAAAGCCACGGGAGTCCGACATTTTGCATGGCAGTTCCTTCGGTGGGAACAACGGGATTTCACGCCCTTTACCGAATTTTGATGCGAATGGGAAAAGGCCATTAGCTCGGCGATGATTTGGATGGGTACGGTAACAGGAAATTATCGCGGTAACGTGACCAATTAATTACCGTTCCGGTGGAAATCCCACGGGAAGTACCGGGAACTTCCCGACAGGAGCTTTTGCAAACAAGAAGTAGCTCATGGGGGATTATGCAGGCGTACTTCGTGTTGGATATCTCTCGGCGAAACGATGGGGTATCGCCGGCGCAACAGGCGAAGGAGGGGATGCCCAACGCGCATGTCGCACAGGCGCTCCGGCGAGCTCTTTTCAATCATCGCCTCGTGGGAGATCGCTTCATTACAGGACAAGGGTTCCCTAGGACTTCCTCCACAAAATGCACCGGGCGTTCAGAGGAGGTTGAATCTCGGACCCACGTGAATGGCGGGACCCGCCGGAGAGGGCCAGAGAGGAGTGAAATTCGCTTCTCCTCGCTCAAAACTCACGATGTCGTCTTTTCAACTAGCAGACTGCACGTCTCAAGAACTGGAAGCACATCGACAACCCAAATCCCCATGATGCGTATGCCGACCAATCAGAGTGACGGCCCAAAACGAGAAACGTACAGATGTACGAGTATGCACGCAAACCAAGTCGGGCCGGTGTAAATAATCGCCATTTATTTTATGCATAAAAAGTAACAGTACACGTCGAGAATAACCGAACGGGTGGGAGAAAAAGAAACGGGAGAAAATGTGCAGCTGAGTTGCTCGAGAAAGGCCTACTACACCAAAATACTCGGACGATCTCACTGGCGACTTAAACACTTCACCCCAGGTCACAATCAAAGCACCTGTCTCGCGCACGGTCGGTAGCGCTGTCAACCAAGGGAACAGCTGCTAGTCGAGATGGCGGGGCCGCGAATGAGCAAACACAACATAGCAACACCAACCAACCAGACGGCCTCTACAACGGGTGAGGATGGAGCAAAAAACCGCTCCTCGCCTCTCGTCGTGTACATGTCTCTTTCCTATGCCCGCTTCAACCTTCCCGTCCCAAAAATAGACGCTTTGCCAAGGCAGCACACGCACTTATTTATACCACACAAAACTTTCCGACCCATGACACGCGGGAATGCGTGCCATGTGGTGCGTGCAGGACGCCGCCCTTTTTAAGACTGGACTTCGACCAGATTTCGGCCATCAATTGGTTTTATGACATCCCTCGTGCCTCGAACTTTTGACGAGGACCAGTCCCAACGAAATTGCTAAGGTCTTCCACACCTCCACAACCCCATTCATTTCTCGATGGGCCAGAAAAGCGCGAAAACACTTGCGACTTCAAGAGGGTTAAGCGAAGCTGCATGCGAAGGGAACGTGGATGGTAATAATCCTGTATGACGCTCAAGAGCAAAACCAAGAGAGAACACGGCACATTCGGAAGAGAACCCAAGGGCATAAAGCTACGGCAGAAAACGATTTCGGTTGGTCGACGGTTCGTACTCGAAAAGCTTAGCCTGCTTTCTACCTGCCCCATCCCCACAACACTTCGGGCTTGTCGCGGGCAGGGTCTTCTAATTTCCTTCTCGTCACTATTGCACTCATGATCTTGGTGGGAGACAAAGAGTGAACTTGGAAGAAACCAATGCCCTCCTACCAAGAGCACTGCGCTGAGCTCAAAACTGCAGCCGTACCAGACCCGTATACGAGGGGAGCTTTCAAGCCGGGGGCATACAGCACAGAGTGAACAACGCATCACAAAACAAAAGAACAAAAGGGCCGACAAACTCCGCCCAAAAGCGAGGTAACAAAACAGGAGAGAGAGGACGGGAATCGCCCCTCTCGCAGCTACAGCTGATATCCAACAACAAAGACGTGATTCATCGAGCGACTCTCTCGAAACTGAAACGACAAAAACAAGCTTTCGACGCTAGGGGATCAACTCGACAACCAACGCAACCACAGAAGTAAGGGTTTGCCGCCCGTGCGGACTTGCTACTTTCCACATGCCATCACCCCACTTAGTTTCCGCTCGGACATACTTCTTCCATCAACCCTTGCAAAGAAATCGACATACACGAGAATCAATAGCAACAACGACAGTTGGGCGAGTTGCCCCAGCTCTTCTGTCACAGCAGCGTTACGATTTCGCTTGGCAAAGAGGAGCCGTAATAAATGGAGGCCGGTTAGGGATTGTCGTAGACACATTCTTAGAAGCGGTACGACATGGACGAGTCGTCGGCACCGAGGATCTCGAACTCGTCCGAGCACCCGTACACCGATTCGTCCTCGAAGTCTCCCACACGGATGGTGTACATGCCTGCCTCGGCATCTTCCGGGATCTCCACATCGTAGTCGCCCACTGTTTCCGTCGACGGCATCACAGCAAAAGCGAGGGAAGTGAGTCAAGACGTCCAAAGGGGTTACTCTCTCAACGAGTACATACCATAACCAACGCTGCGTAAAGGTGTGTGTCAAGGTTTTGCACGACAAAAACAGTGCGAGATCAAAAACACTGACGTACGGGCACCCGCAACCCAAGTAAGACACAAGGAATGAAGCGGCGTTGGCGGTGACCTTAATCGTGGAACACATGGTGCTGAAAAGTTTCCTCGTATCACAACAATCGATGCTTCCGAAGACCAACAGCAACCGAAACATTGAACACGTAAAACTCACTGGAGTCCTTGCAGCCGATGGTGGGCTTGTCGCACAGGGTGTACATGAAGGTGCCGCAGTCGCCAGATCCTGTGGCGGCGTAGAGGTCGATGGCGAAACGTCCCACGGACGACCCGAGACCGTTGTCGTAGTCGAACTTCGAAACGGAAAAGAGAGATGCGGAGGAAAATTGAGTAATCGACCAGCAGGAGTTTGCCATGAGTCTTCAATTTTTATTTCTCGGCATTAAGCTTCTCACCGCATCGCAGAACACGGCTGGAAACATGGCCCTCTTGCCATCCATATGCAAGCCTTTTGAAAATCTATCCAAAACTCGTGTATTTCATCAACACGGTAGGCCGAAAAGCCGAAACTCGCATATTTTCCTTCACGAGTTCTCTATTAAACTCACCTCGACGGTGTACTCCTCGCCGGCTTCGGCAGAATCCCCGGTGGAGGGCGAAGTCACCGTAACGTATGGGCCGCCCGCGTCGCTGGCGCTGGGTGCGTCGGCGTGCGCCATGAGGTAGAACTCGTCCGAGCAGTCGCTCGAGTCTTCGTCGTCCACGTCCGCTACGCGTACCTGTATCGCACCACATCACACCGGGTGTCAACTTCCAAGCATCAGACAGACATGACATCGTGCAACATCACTTAAGTGCCAATTGCGCGTTGGAGGGCACGGAAAGAGAGGTTACCGAGTGAAGGGACAGAACTTGATTCCTTCATCCCTACATCAAACATTGTACAAAAACAACCGCGACTGCCAAGAGAGACTCTGCTCGTGGCACACGTATGCATAGCATACGCGAAGCCTCAAGGGAAACATGAGCGATTCTAGACTACTCCCGGGGACTTTGGCCTCACAAAACACCGTTGTCCAGAGTGTCGGCCACGCACGCCCATGCATTGACTGGCATCAAATTAATTGTCGTCGAGCCGTCAGTGCATGTCTTTCGCCCGTTTTCACTGCAAGGACACTCAGTGCCGCTGCCGCCAGTGTATTTTTTCGTGTACAGAAAAGCTGGACAGTTACCTTGTACCCGGAGCCGGAGGTGCCGCTCATGGGCTCGGGCATGACGATGTCGTAGTCGCCCTCGTTGTCCGGGCAGCCGTCCTCGCCATACGGGCACAGAGCAGTCACCCACTCACCGCACTCGTCCTGCCGAGGTAAGAGCACGCAGTTCCAGCAGGACAAAGGGGAGGGGTTGAAGATGAAATGATCCTTCCGAATTGACTGCAGGACGTCGGTCATACAGCGATGGCAGGATGACTGATGAGTACGACAGGTCGCAAAGGATGCAGATCCTGTACATTGTCGATTTGTCCATCGACGGCGCACTTCAGGGGTGCGACGAGTTATGTTCGGGCAGTTTCGTGTTACTACCGTGGGCGAGAGAGTCTTAGCATCATGTCCATGCTAGTCTTGTAAACAACACAAGGGACCGAGTTTGCTGCCGCGACCAGCCTGACCATGGCAAAAAACATACCGAAAGATACATCTACTCCCCATGGAAAGCATTTCTCACCTCCATGCACATGGAATTGCAGTAGTAAAGGTCGATCTCGAAACGTTTGTTCGACCCGGTTCCACTCCACTCCACGGTGTACGCTCTGGAATGATGAAAATGCGGTGCAATCAATGTTTGGCACAAGAAAGCGTGTTCACCCGGGGTATTTGCAAAAAAAGGCAACCGCAGCGCGGTGGTTGACGTCAAGGGTGAAAGAGGGCGCGCAGGGGACAACGCCGGAAGTATTACGCGTACATAATGCCAACTTTGTTCTCTTAGGCTCGCTTGCCGAAGAAGCGCGAGAAGCAATGTAGCAGGTGTTGTTGTTGTCTTCACATTAAACCGTATGTCAGTTGCTAAATGCCAAAAACTAGCAAAAGACTCTCAGCCCGTGGTCACGAAAGTGCTAGAGCCATCTGAGGATGTAAAGAACACGCACACATATAACGAGAAAATGGTATCCAAGAGCCCGAAGAGGTACACCTAAAAATCCCTGCAGCACCGTATGCGTGCCCACAAACTGAACTGCACGTCCGTCCCACCGTTCGACTACAGTAGCATCACCCTGTCCCACTCTATACCAATACGGAAGATTGCCGACTACAGCATACTGCTATCTGAAGTGCTGTCTGTACAAAAACACCATGGTAGGCATGGAACAAGAAGCTGGCGGGGCACAAAGCTGCTGTCTGAAGTGCTGTCAGAATGTGTCTGCGGCCGTGCAGTGAAAAAGAACAACCAACCAAAGCCATCATAGCAGTAATTGACAATCACCCGAATCTCTCCCGATCGTCTGTGTAGGCACTGCAGTGAAAAATATCGACACTAGCTAAGAATCGTTCCACATTGAAGGGGTCTTCCACGATCAGGCACAAAACCAATGCACGCGGGTTAGCCACGCCATCTCTGCAGGTCTCTCTACAAAACCGGTGACGACGTCATCACACAAAACCAACACGGAAAGTCAGAAAAAAAACGAAAAAATTGACAACACAAATGTTTGTCCGTGCGCCACGGGTCGATGTCGCCCGCATGCTCCGGTGCCATTGCTCCATCCGGTGCCGCTGTAGTCAGCCCGAGCAAAACGCCACTCGACCTGCTCCGTCCGTACACGCTCTCGTTGCTGTCCTTCCCAGTCCGTTCCTCGCTTTCTCCCTCATTGCACTCAAGGTTCTTGGTCTGAAAAAAATAAAAATTCTCGCGCCGAATTGGTCAACCAGCCTAGTTCAGCTCGTCGCCACCTGCTCCCTCCTTCTTTATGGCGAAGCCAGGTTACTGAGNGCCTACGCCGACGGCCAGAAAGGCCCGCGCATCTACATTTTCCCGCCTGACCCCATCAGTGCCGACCCAACTCCACCACCACACGCACGCCTCGCGGCGGATGCGCAGCAGCAAGAAGGTTTCGGTCATCCCTTGAGGGTGAGTCTAGCACTGCTCGCCAGAAAGACCCCCCCCCTTCGCTACAACGGAGGGTCTACAGGGGTTCAAGGAGAAGATATCTGTTGCTTGTGCCGAGAGAGAAGAACAGAATCTGAGGAA